AAAAAAAAAAGAAACAGAAAGCAGTTGGAAATTTTCCAAAGTTAAGGGGAATGCCTGTGGAAGTCGAAGTTAGGGAAATCTGACCCAAATCTCTTCACACACCAATGGTTCAAGGTGGTTGGACCAGCAGGTCACAGCTAAGTGCGAACTGGCCACGTTTCATTTTGTCCACTGAACTCTGGGTGTTATTGTTGGTTTTGGGCCGAGTGCCGCCTTTTCAAAGCTTTTGTGTGGCACGTAGAGCCAGCTCCTTGGTTCCGGCATCCACGGGGCTCCTGGGAGCCCAGAACTGGGCCCAAACTGAGTACACTTTTCCATAGATGAGGTTGGGCGGGGACTCCGCGTGGAGCCAGGGAGCCGAGTGCTGAGTAACGTAAAGACAGCGTTTCGCAAGGCGCCACGCTCCTCCACGGGGATGAAGCGCTGCAGACATGAAGTCAGACAGGCAGCCCGTTTGTCTCCACTCTCTTCCTCTTCCTTCACAGCGCGTGTTCGTGTGGGACTTGGACGAAACCATCATCATCTTCCACTCCTTACTCACGGGGACCTTCGCGTCCAGATACGGGAAGGTAAGGCTCGCCTCTGTCTTGCTTTGTGTGTCTTGGATCCTCCCCAGTGCCCATCTGTCCAGCCAGTCTGCCTTGAGAACGGTGGGGGCAGCCAGTGAGGCAGCTTCCGCGATGGAAGCTTCTCCCTTGGGTCAGCCTGGGCTTGGAGACTCCTGTGGCATGTCCCTTAGATGTGAGAACATGTAAGTAGTTCCCCGTGTAAGTGTCTCCAAGTGCCTCTTCTTCCCACACGTGGAGCAAGGCTTCACCACCTCCCAGGTCAGACGGGAGGCCATTGTCACCCTGCTCAGGGGTCTCAAAGACACGATGGCCAGCCACAGTCGTCTGCCCTTGAAGGGAGGTAAAGTGCTTCGCTTCCTCCCAGTTGTGTTTCCGTGTGGATCGGGCAGATGCACTTAATTTTCCTTCCGTTCCCCTCACCACCACCCCACTCCCGGAGACCACGGGGAGACGTTGAACGTAAAGACGGCTTGGCAAATGCTTGATCAGCACAGAGGATTCTGGGCACGTGCTCTTGGCCCGCTGGGCGGGAGTGAGTGGAAGAACTGGTGAAGCGTCCTCAATACTGCAGACATGAGCCCGACACCCTTAATAAGGCAAACGCCGTGCAAGCATGCGTCTCAGGGCCTCAACCCACGAGTGCCGTGTGCCTGCCCTGTGGGCTTCTCCCCCAACCACATCGCAGGATGGTCTGAACCTCCTGCCCTCTCTTTCTGGGAAGAGCCCTGTAGGTAGAGAAGCTGGGCCCTTGGGGTAGTGTCCCCTACCCGGGAGCAAGGTGGGTGACCTCGTGCCGGCTGCTTCCACACATACGTAGGAGCCCACAGACCCCTCGGTGACTGGAAAACATTCTTGTTTCTGGGCAGAGAGCACAAACCTGACTTGACTTCACCGCATGGCTTTTCCAGCTGTTCATGGGCGTTTTGTTTGGGTTTGGTGTTTTTCATTTTATGGGGCAATAACAAGCTGGCTGTGTAATTAGCGAGATGGATTTATTGTCTGCCATTCTGTTGTCAAGAATATAGAAATAGTGTTGGTGGCGCAGAAATCTTGGGCCGAGGAGGAATATCGTTAATATGTCTAGCAGTGCCCATGGGAAGGCCAACAGGGCATTTTGGAGTGTACACAGCTTGGGCGAGGCTGCTGGAGCTGGCAGCCTGTGCAGAAGGCTCACAGCCCAGAGGAGCTGAGCCAGTGAGGTGCCCACCGGGCCTGGGTGTCTGATGGTTCTCCTAAGCTACCCGGGGGACGGATATCACCTCCGTAAGGAGCATCCCTTCTGCTTGCATTAGCAGCTCCGCCGCCCTGAGATTCTGTAGCTCCATCCAACCACTCACTGTTTGTGCACCGTGCTGCCAGGATCTCATCCCCACCCCTTGAACCAAACCGTGAGCTCCCCCGTGAACGAGGCTCACGTGCCCAGAGGACAGCGTAGAATGGCCCCCGTGGGTTCCTGAGCCTGGAAATCTTAGCAGGTGTAGAAAGCCTCACCCCTCTCCCATGGAGCGTCTGGTGGTTTCGAAAGGCTGACCTGGCTGGGGGCTGGGGGCTGGCAGCCCAGCGCGTAACCCACTCGTGAGACCTCGACTCGGGCACAGTGAGAGAAAGGTCCCTAACAGCCTTCCCCGTGTAAACGACACCTCTTCCCCTAACCGTATTTTTCATTTATACCGTGGGTTTGCACTGATCCTCTGTCTCCCTTCTAGACTGCAGATGCCACGAGGGCAGGGCCCGGGGCCGGGAGTGGTGTTTATGGGACAATAACTAGCTGTGGGCACGAAGGGCCAGGACAGCCCCCTGGAGAGCCAGCAGCATGCGGGCAGGGGTCTCGTCTGGATTTGGTCTTCCTTGCTTTGTTCCTCCTCCCTCCATCCCCGCTCAGGCAGGTCAAGTCACTGTGAGAGGAAGGAGGGAGAACGAAGCTCAAAACAGAGGCTTCCTCACTGGTGCCCACTGCCAAATTCGGCCTACAGACATTTTTTTGGTTGGGCTCCAGGGTATTTGAAAAAAAGAAAGTGAATTTGTCACCAGCATTAAGAAAACAAACAAACAAAAGAGGACATCACATAGACCCAAACGATCCGATTTCCCGCTCTTCTGGAAAACAGGGAGTCTGGCAAGCCTGGGCCCACAGGTGGCAGCAGTCACCAGGAAGTGGGCAGCGAGGGCACTTGATAAAGGGGGCGCTAGCTCCCCAGCCCATGCCAACCCTGACCTGGCCTGCTGGGTCCATTTGCATGACGCCCCTGACCCTCTTGGCTCTGGGTTCCACCGCTCACCCTCGAATTACAGACCCAAAGGGGTCTGAACGGAAAGGGCCGAGGAGACCATTGGCCTCCATCATGCATATGGAAGGAGCCCAGATGGCACGGTGGTGAATTCCTGACTGCTAACTGAAAGGACGGTGGTTTGAACCCACGAGCCACTCTGCAGAAGAAAGAAGTCTCTCTCTCTCTCAGTAGAGATGACGGCCGGGGAACCCTGTGGGAGAGTTCTGCTCTGCCCCGCAGGGTCGCAGTGAGCCGGGACTGACTGACGGCAGTGGGTGTGGCTTTCTGGGTGAATGACTGAGAGTAGGATGGTACCGGAGAAGGGCTAGCAATCCGTAGCACCGAGCGCTGTGTAGGACCGGAAGAGCTGGGAGAGAGAAACGCCAAGGAGAAAGGAAACCGCCCACCTGCAGGACCACTGTGGGTCCGACGCTCCCAAGAGTCCAGCTGCTGTCCGCTTGGCATTCCGACGGGGGGCTGGTTCTAGAGGAGCAGGCGTAGGCACCCATTTTCACAGACAGCCTGACTGAGATGCAAGGAGGCTGTGTCGCGTACGTGTTCGTGCAGAACCCAAACACGGGGCTCTGGGTCCTGCCCCACAGCTCTCTCCAAATGTCTGCTGAAGATGACCACTAATCGGTTATGCGAAGATGTGGGACTCTCAGTTTGACGCCACAGGGATTGGAGGGAGCATCATAATACAAAAACCCAGAGATAGCTGGGTTTCAGGTCTGGCTGGCTCCAGGAGCTGCAGCAGTATTCTCAGAGCTTGGTGCGTCCGCAGCCCCCTGCAGGGGCGCTACGAGTCGGAATCAACTGATGGCACCGAGTCCTCCACAGACTTTCTCCCACCCAGGACTCCCACCTGAAGAAGGGCGCTTTCTCTTCCCCAGATTCCAGCATGACTTGTAGGCTTGAATCTCGTGGGCCCTAACTAGGTCACATGCCCATCGATACACTCATCTCTGAGGCTCTGATTGGCCGGTCTAGATGAAGGAGCCACTCCAAGCATGTTGGGGATGAAAGATCAAGTCAACTCCATCCCAGCCCAACGGACTGAGTGGGGAGGCACCCCAAGTGGTGCTTCCAGGAAGGGTGAGGCCGCTGGGCATCCAGTGACAGGGCTCCAAAGGCTAATCCCCCTTCACATCCACGCCAGTGACCACCGTCTCTGTTGGTGGCCATTCTCTGGAGCACCATTCAGAAAGGACAAGTCCCCTCTGAATCCGAGGGGAACTTGCTATTGACCTACGGAACTGAGACCAGCAGAGGGTGTATGGTGAAGGTGTGATTCGAAAAGGGGTGTTTGGATTTTAAAACAGAAACCCCGGGCTCTCTTCCTACCCAATCAGGGGATGTGCCACCCGGGGTTGTCACCACCGCCCTGCTTCCCTTCTGCCTCTGGCAGCTCACTGCATCATGTGCATCCATTGGACATCCCCAGAGCGGGAGCAGACACTGCCAGCAGTTTCTGCCTCTTTCCTCACTCCAAGCCTGTCTTTCCCCTCCTCCATCCCTGTACTGGGCTCGGGCAGTGCAAGCTGGTCAGAAAGCTTCATCTGTGGCCAGGGAGGCTGTCTAAGGAGATTAGACAGTAGTCCTCCGTGGTCTCCATGAACTGGCCCCGGCTCTCTCTTTTCACCCTGCCTTCCAGGCAGCTCAGTGCCAACCTGGAGCTCGGCTCTAGCGCCCTTAAAAAAATAAAAAGTTAGTTTTCTTGATCTATAAGGATTCCTGGTGGTGCAGGGGTTTACAAATTGGGTGCCTGACTGCAAGGTCAGTGGTTCAAGCCTGCCAGCTGATCAGGGGAAGAAACCCTCACAGGCAATGCTCCCGTCCTGGAGAGATGCTCTGAGTTGGCACTGACTCAATGGCAGTGGGTGTCGTGGGGATAAAATTCACATGCTGTAAATGTACCCTTTTAAACGAGGCAACCCAGGAGGGGGGGTGGGGCTAATATATGCCTAGAGTTGTGTCGCCATTAAAAGGAACGTGTTACCATCGGGTCGATTCTGCTGGGTGCTGGTAAGGGAACGGACATCCTTTCATAAATTCCCTGCCCTGGGCTATGGGAAGGCTGGCTCAGACCAAGAGAGCAAAACCTTCAACAGTTGAAAGGCCGGAAGATCCTCTTGGTTTCCCAGGAAGCACCGGGAACACCATCGCTCCAGGCTGTTCACAGGGTGACATCAGAGTGCAGGGCGACAACAGGCTGATATCTGGAAGCAAGGTGGGCTTAACCCAAGGTGGGGCTTCCTGGAGATGGGGTATTCTGAAAAATTCTGCCAAATCTGAAGACGTAGAGGCTGCCCCCAGATGTTTGGGACCTGGTTTCCAGGACATTTAGGCGGGGCCCCCAGAGGGCCCCGGAATGTCCTCACTGAGAATACCTGGGTGGACATGATAATGGATCCTTACGATGGATCATCTTGGGGAAGTAAGCAGTCTTTTTTTTCATGGGAGGGGGTGGTGTGATCCCAAAGGCCCACTTAGAACTACCTGCCAGAGTTTGGAATCACACTAGGTGGGGGTAGGTAGGGGGGTGACCTGGGAGCCTATGTCACAGTCCACGCAGAGGGCAGTGGGCCCGACGTGGCTGGTGGGACCAGTTGTCTCGCCTCCACATATCCCACATTCCACCAGGGCGCTGGTGCGGCCGAGCCACAAATGCCGACGTCTCTGGGGACTCAGGAGGCCCCTCACATGAGGGAAGCAGCTGCAAGGGCCCCA